AGGCGCGATATGCCCCATTCTGGGTCGGCGGCGGCCGCCACGAAGAGATACTGGAGCTGCCTCTGGAAGGGGTTGCCCCCTGGCTGTCGGCAAGCTGCAGGCCGGCGCCGGAGCGCTCGATACTGGGCGGAGGTGCACCCGGCAGGGGGCTGCATCCGACCGGCGGCTTCGAGTTGAGGGTGAGCGTCCCCCCGCGCGCGGTCGATGTGAAACTTAGAAGCTCTATAGAGTCCATCAGCTGCGCGTCGGATAAGCTCGATGCCCGCCTCGCGCTGCACAGTGAAGGGGTTCTTGTCAGAGACAAGATCTCTGACTAGCCGCCAATGAAAAGGCCGGCCACGATGCGGCTCCAGCCAACATCGCACACAAGAAGACGCACTGCAGCCGTCGCCTTTGAAACTTCCCTCCGCGTAAACGCCGAAGATCCTTCGAAATGAGGCGTCCACCACTTGCCCACCTCATTGCCGTCGACGGTAGCCTCGGCGTCTCTCACGTTTGCGGCCTGGAACCACTTCCTGATTGCATTCTCGACATGTGGTTCGTTTGCCACGTCACCGCAACTGGGCGCGAGACTGGTCGGGCCGACCTGTTGTTCGAAAGCCCTGGTGACTTGTGACTGCCCGCGGCTCATCGCGCTTGATGGTACCAAGCATTTTCTTCACGACGCCAACCTCCATCTCGAGTGCGTTGACACGTTCGTTCTGGTCGTAGATGCGGCGATGCACCTCGCTGAATATGTTCTCGATGCCCCACCTCGGTCTTCTCGCAATGGGCCTTGAAGGAGCTGCCCACGTTGGTGAGCTGGTTCTGCATGCCAGCGAAGGCAGCCAAGGCCTCGTTGCGGGAATTGTCCACATACTTGTTCTGGTCATCCGTGGGTTCAGGTACTCCACTGCTGTTAGCCCGACGTTTCGGGACCGTCGTGTCCTTGAGGCGCACTGCCAGATTGAGGAGCCTGGCCAGCATGCGAAGAAGGTGTCGTCGGCGCAATAGTTTCTCCCGTACCCGCCGTTCTCATGGTCGCGTTGCGGTCATGGTTTCTGGATCTGCGCCCCACATGGGGACTCGAATCGGGGCTCATTCTCTCTGTTCGGCATGGCGCCGTCGTTGCTCTGGTAACCACTCCCTCCATCAGTTCAATGTAAGGGAAACACAAAGATGAAGACCTTTGACAGTCCAGCCCGGCGATTCCAGCTGAGAACTTGCTGACCGGACCTCACGCCTCGAGCACTACCTCATTTGAGCGAAAATGGTTTGAACCAACATGGTTACGGACATCCTCCTTCTTTTCCTCCTCCTCCTCCTCTTCATCCCCCTCCGCCTCCTCCTCCTCTTCATCATCGTCACCATCACCATCATCATCACAATTATCCGTCTCCTCCTCCTCTTCCTCCTCCTCCTCCTCGCATGCCTCCCCCTCCTCCTCCTCCTCCTCCTCGCATGCCTCCTCATCCTCCTCCTCCCCCTCCTCCTCGTCCTCCCCGTCAGTTTGGTCATCCTCCCCATCATCCTCGTTATCAGCGTCATCATGGCCAGCAACCCAGCATGTATTGTCATCGTTTTCGTAATCCTAATCCTCCTCATCATCAACACCACCACCATCTTCAGCATCATCATCATTTGCATAATCATCGTCATCCCCCTCTTCGTCCATCTCGCCATCCCATCATGAGCATCATCATCATCTGCCTTCTCAAACTTCCTTGTGCTCCTGGTCTTCCGCCTGTTCCTTCTCTTGCTCCTCCTTCTGCTCCTCCTCCTCCTCCTCCTCCTCCTCCTCCTCCTCCTCCTCCTCCTCCTAATCATCATCATCAGCATCATTACCATCATCATCATAATCCTCGTCCCTCCTCTTGTACGTTTCCTCGGACATGCCAGGGATGTCTTCGCACTCTCGATGACGCTTCCAGGAGGCACCCTCGCCAGGGATGCCCTCAAACGGGTGGGCCTGGTCCAGTATCCCTCCCCCATTCTTTCTGTCTTGTCCTTCCTTTCTCCTCCCGTATCCTGCCTCCTCTCTGCTCACCGCGCTCTCGATCGAGGCATCGCCACGATTTGCTCAGGCATGGCTCCCCCCTCTGAGCAATCCTTGCAACTTACCACGGAACCGTGCTCGCGCCACGGCGCCAGCTACCTACCCCGTCGGACCAGGACGTCCAGACCCCACCCAGAGCACAATTCGACAACAGAAATATAATCCTATGGCTTGTCTGTGTCTGACCCCTCCTCGCTCTCCTCCCTCTCGGAGTCCAAAATTACTAGGATGTCCCACGCGAAATGGGCCGGACTACCTCGCGCGTGGCAGCTCGGAGCCCAGAGTTGCGAGGATGTATCGAGCGAGCGGTCCAAACCACCTCGCGCACACTTGCTGAGAGCCAAGGGTCCCGAGAATGCCTCAGGCGAAACAAACTGGACCACTTCACGCGCAGCAGCTCGGAGCCCAGAATTGCGAGGATGTCTCGAGCCAGACGGGCTGGACCACCTGGCGCGCGACATCTGGGAACTCAGAGTTGCGAAGATGTCTCAGGCGGCGCCCAGACCCCTCCCGGAGCACAATTCGACAACAGAAGTGTAATCAGATGATTCGCTTGGCTCTGACCCCTCCTCGCTCTATCTCCTCCCTCTCGGAGCCGCGAAACGTGAGGAGATCTGAAGCGAAACGGACCAGACTGCATTGCGCACATTTTCTCAAAGCTCAGAGTTGCAAAGATGTATCAGGCGACTCGAGCTGGACCACCTCGCTCACATCTCCTCTGCGTCCAGAATTGCGAGGATGTCTCAGGCGAGCCAGACTGGACCACTTCTCGCGCGGCACCGCAAAGCCCAAAGTTGCGTGGATGTCTCAGGTGAAGTAGGCTGGACCACCTCTCACGCGGCATCTCCGATATCAGAGTCCCACCAGCCCTCTGGGCGCAGGTGGTGTAGCGCGTTTCCTTTTCCAACCTCCTCCCTTTCCCTGTCCGGGAGGTTTACCCCCCCCCCTCCCTGCGTCTGGACGGGGGGGGGCCCGATGTGTCAGAGCGTCTTTCTTGGCCCAAGATCGCTCCAGGAGGGCCTGAGAGACTCCAAGATTGCCTCCAAGATTGCCCAAGATAGCGGTAGACGGGTCAAGATAGCCTCCGACACGCGTCCAAGAGGCCTCAAGACGGCCCCAAGACGGTTTCAAGTGCCCTCCGAGGCCTCCAAAGACCCCCCCCAAGAGGCCAAGATCCTTCAAAAACCTACGGAAAATCAATGTTTTGTGCCTTCTCGTTTTTTTGCCTCCGAAGGGCTCTTGAGGCCTCAAGATGGCCCAAGACAGCCCCAAGAGGGGCCCAAGAGAGCCGCAAGACGGCCCCAAGAGCGCCCAAGAGCGCTCCAAGAGCGGGCCAAGAGGGCCCCAAGACGGCATGTTTGAGCCTCCGAGGGGGGGGCAAGAATTAACGCCGCCCCTCTTTTTGATCAATGCGGCCTAAAACGGCCCTAAGAGGCCTCCAAGACTCCAACTTTGCAGGGTCTTTGCAGGGTCTTTGCAGGGCCCCCCACCCCTTGCAAAGACCCTGCAAAGACCCTGCAAGACCCTGCAAAGCCAACAGAGCCCCAAGAGGGCGCCAAGAGTGCCCCAAGAGGACCCCAAGAGAGCACCAAGATTGCCTTACGAGTCCTCGAAAACACCATCACCACAACACATCCCCAAAGCCCAACTTGTCATTATCCTTATCATCATCCGCTCCTTCCTTCCTCCCTTCCTGCCTCCTCCCTCCTCCTCCTCATCCTCCTCGTACCGCATTCCTGCTCCTCCTCCTCCCATCCCTCCTTGTTGTTGTCATCCTCCTCCTTTTCCTCCTCCTACCCCCAAGTTGGCCCGAGCAAGAACACCGCCACCAGCAGGAGCACCACAAACAGCAGCACCAGCAGCAGCAACGACATCAACAGTAGCAGCACCAGCAGCGGCATCAGCAGCAGCACAAGCAGCAGCACCAGCAGCACTGCCACCACCACCGCCACCAGCAGCAGCACCAACACCAGCACCAACATCAACAACAGCAGCAACAACATCAACCGCAGCAATAGCATAAACAGCAGTACGAACCAGGCGGAACAAGTTCCAGACGCACGCGAACTCAAGATCCAAATCAGTGCGTGACTAAGATCAAGGATGTCCACAAGACGGCCCAAAGGCCTCCAATACGGCTCAAGGGGCCCCCAAAACGGTTCCAAGAGAGGGCTCAGACGAGAAACCCGAACGGACATCTCGAGCCCTCGAGTGCCGCTGCACTGGTTTTCATTATAAACTTCGCTGCGGAAAGCTATGCGCCAGACCCTAATCTCTTCTGGACCAAGATGGACGCAACCACCAGAACCAGAGACGATTACCACGGGGAACATCGCGGCGTAGCTTGCACTGATTTCCATCTTAAAATTCAATGCGGGCGGCTATTTGTAATCCTTGTTTTTCTGAAGGCGGCCGCGCAACTGCATGCTTCCAGCCGCCCCTGATTCACCAATTTCCCTGCTGATCGTTTCTGGACGGGCTAGGCGAAGCGTCAAGAATTGAGAAGATGCCCCAGGCGAAACGCGCCGGACCGCCTCGCACGCGGCAGCTCGGAGCTCAGAACCACGAGGATGCCTCAGGAGAAACGAGCGGGACCACCACGCGCGCGGCAGCTCGGAGCCCGGAGTTGCGAGGATGTCTGAAGCGAAACAGAACAGGCCACCAACTTCTCTTGACGATGTCTCTGGGCGCCCGTCCTCGACGGGAACAAGTTACGATCAAGCTGTTTGGGGAATGAAATGGAAACCAGACCAGGATGTCAAGACGCCAGGGAATGTGTCAAAAGCCAGGATGTCAAGACACCAGGATGTCAAGACACCAGGGTGTCAAGACACATGTCAAGACACCAGAATGTCAAGACATCAGATGTCAAGACACCAGGATGTCAAGACACCAGGAATGTCAAGACACCTAGATGTCAAGACTAGGATGGCAAAAGCCAACAAAAAAAGCAGCCGTGCTAGGCCTTGTCGCGCCACACGACGCGCTTCGTGAAGAGCCTGCGGAGATCGTACGACAGGAGCTCCCGGCAGCGCCAACACACGTAGCGTGGCGAGAGGTCCCCGAAGCGGAGGTAGGGGCTGAGGAGCTGGCCCATGTGGGCAGAGAGTGCGTGAGATTGCGGCAACGCTGCTGTGGCCAATCCCGCTGGCCAATGGAAGACCTGTCCATGTCTTTCTCGCCGTCCTACATCCATACCTTCTTGCATGGAAGTCTCCGAAGATGGCCAAGTGCAACTTCGTTCTTTGGGGCTACAAGTCCCGGCCCGTGCATCCCACGGATAAGGCCTGCGCAACCAATGAATGTCAAAGACTCCCCCCTCTCCCGTCACCCTCCCTTTTCCACTCCAACCATTTCCTCCTGTGAGATAGCCCGAAACAGTGACTGCCTGTCCACTCTCTCTCCCTCTCTCTCGCCCTCTTCCTCCCTGTAAGTATGTGTACATACACTCATACCTGTGTATGTATGTGTGTGTACTTGCAGATATACAAATATACATACATACGTACGTACATACATACATACATATACATCAACACACACCTGTAGAACCACCCTTCGGGAAATAAGGTTGGGGGATGCAGCTCTCTGCTTGCGACTGGTCCCAGATCGGATTCGCCATATATCTATTTGTACATGTATATATGTATATGTATCGAATATACATATACATAAATAGATATAGCGATCTACCTACCTACCTCTACCGTGCACTGCGCAGTGCAATGGCATTGCACATTTGTATATATGTATAGAGAGAGATCTGCATACATATCTATATATATGTGTGTACTTAAATGTGTTTCTGAAAGAATGTGCCTGTAATGTTCTGCAAATATCGAAAGATCACGATGCCCACCGACCAGTGTCCCGATCCACCAAAACTGCTATCCTCTTCGTCAGTGACACAACACAAATAACCTTTCGCACAAATACCTACGACCCTCCATATAAACATATTTGAAACTATCGGTGGACTGGCTCCCCCTGCAGTTAGTCTATATAACTCACTATCTGTCGATCGGTCCCACTATCTATACATGCATCTACACATGAACAAGGCAACCACGGCACGACCACGAGACAACCACAAGACAACCACGGGAGAACCACGGGACAATCGCAGGACAACCACGGGACAACCACGGGACAACCACGGGACAACCACGAGACAACCACGAGACGACCACGGACACGCACGGGCAACCATGCGACAATCACGGGACAACCACGGGGCAACCACTGGATAATTACTGGACAACCTCAGGTGAACCATGAAACGACCGCGGGGCAATCAAGGGACATCCACGGGACAAACACAGGTCGCCGATCTAACGATCTATCGCTCTCACGACCAATACATCAATGACACTATCAACCCATCGGCCGATATCACGAACGATCGATCTCACGATATACGAATCGATCCCAAAATCAATACATGAATCGAATTCACGATCTATCATCGTCATTGTTTGTCCATCGATCTCGCTATAAACCGATCGATCGATCCCACTACTTCTTCATCAATATCACTACACCTCTGTCTCCGATCGGAACAACCGCACGACAACCACGAAACAACCACGGGACAACCACAAGACATCCACGGGAGATCCACCAAACACAACCACGGGACAACCGCGGGACAATCCCGGGCACACCCCCATGTAGCGTGACTCTTGGCTCGGCCTTGCCCTAGCTAGGACAGGAGATCGCGCGTTTTCGCCTTGCCCGCACGCACGACACGAACAGAAACCGATGTCCCAACGTGTGACATCCGCTGCGCTCCAGCCTCCACCCCCCAAAAAAACAATGCACATATCTACGAGACCACCTGTCGGGTGGTAAGGAGGTTGGGAGGGCTCTTGTTCCCGCAACGCAACGCATCCCCAACCCTAGGCGTCGTGGTACAGACTGCCTGGGCAGCCAGGTGAGAAAAACTGAGCGCCACGCGTGGACAGCAGCAGCAAGAGCAGGGAGGGGGAGGGAACAGGGCGGCAGGGAGGAGAAGGGGAAGAAAGAAGAGAGCAGCACAGAGAGGAGCAAACAGGCAAGCGAGAGAGGAGGCAGCACAGCAGCAAAAAGGGAGACCACGCCAAGCAGTGCGCAGCAGCATGGGGACGGGAGACGAGGAAACTGCATGCCAAATGAAACACTTAGAGGTATTGTGAAGTGCTGTGCCTCCTGTCCAGCAGGAAAGCACTGCTGCATCCAAGGACAGCCCAAGCCACCAAAAATAGCAGAATCCGAAAAGACTCGAAGGCAAGACGAGGAGAGACAAAGAAGAGGGAGGCAAAGAGCAAGGATAGGGAAGGACTTGACGCCAGATCACGGCCCGAGGCTCCACTGGCAAACCAATCAAGAAGCACAACCCTACATTACAACATAAGAAGTTGGCAGGGGGATAGGTGCAGCTTTCGGCTTGCCATTGGCGTCGGATCCGACAATATCTAAACACCTATATATATGTATCGAGAGAGAGAGATGGCGATCCCGACATCTATATCTAGAGAGAGATGTACGTGTGTGCATGTACACATGTATGCTGGTCTCTCTATGTATCCATTGGTTCCACCAATCAGTGTAACGCTCGGCACCACTGATTAACGGTCTCGTGTACTCCCGTTCGGTTGCCCCCACCAGTATTACATCCGCCGAATCCCTATATGTGTCTACTAGAACCACGCGCGCGCTTCGCGCGCTGGTCCTGGTCACAACTACTGCATGTCAATCACCCCTACCACCACGCCTACAACAACCGTTGCCGGTACGGCCACGTCCACGGACACTACAGCTTCAATCGGCACTGTCGTTATCCATTCAACCCCTTCTCCTCCTCCTCCTTCTCCTTTTCCTCCTCCTCCTCCTCGTTTTCCTCCTTCTCCTCCTCCTCCTCCTCCTCCTCCTCCTCCGCCTCCGCCCTCCTCCTCCTCCTCCTCCTCCTCCTCCTCCTCCCTCCCTCCCTCCCTCCCTCCCTCGCTCCCTCCTTCCCTCCCTGCCTCCCTCCCTCCCTCCCTCCCTCCTCCCTCCTCCGCTTCTTCGAGCGCTTCCCTCGCCCATCTCAGAGACGGAGGGACCGGGTCCTGGAGGAACGAGGTCCTGGACCCCAGGGGGACCCCAACGACCAGCGTGTCCCTCCGAGTCGTGAAACTGACGGCCCCAAGGCCGGAGGATTGGGGAGCCTCTGGGGCGGGCCCTCGCGAGATGCCTCGTCAGATCTCTCGGGGGGGCATTGGGGGGGCATCTTGCAGGTCTGTTCTGACGGCTCTGGGGATTCCCTGGGATTCTCGGATTTGCTTTGGGCCTCTGGGAGGCTCCTGGGATCCAACATTGGGGGGGCAGGACTCGAGATGTCGGTAATGGGGTTGCCTTTTGTTTCCTCGTGGTGTCTCCTTGTTTGCCTCGGGCGCCCTCTTGGAGACCCTCTTGGACCGCATTGGGCCAGTCTTGGGTTGTTCGGGGGGTTAGCTGGGAGGCACCTGTGGCAATCTTGGAGCAACATTGGGACCCTCCTGGCCCGTCATGGCAAGTTAGGGGCTCGGCAGCAGCATACAAAAAGCGCACATAAAAAGACAAGGACTACGTATCAATGACTTGTCCCTCTCGGGGCCCTCTTGTCGGCCCTCTGGGAGCGCCCTGAGGCGTCTCGGAGGCCCCTGGGGCTACGGTGGGGGCATTTGTCAAGGAATGTGCCCAGGAAGCTTCAGACCCTGGAGGATTCCTTCACTGATGAGGGCGGTGGCGATACCCCTGGCCGATCTACAATTGGAATGCAGCTGGCTTCCAGACCCTGGATTCCTTATCCAAGGCTTCCTTATCCAATGCTTCCGCCGTATCAATGGTTTGCCCCCCTCTCGGGGCCCTCTTTCGTCGGCCCTCTGGGAGCGCCCCGAGGCGTCGTGGAGGCCCCCGGGGGCTGTCTTGAGGCCATCTCGGGCCGCCCTGGCACGCTCCAGCAGGCCCATGCCCGAGAGGCCTCCGGGATCATCCGGCGGGGTTCCTGGATGAAGGGGCCCAGGGACACACACACACACACACACACACATAAATAAATACATACACACAAATCCCAGGATTCTCCATATTTCCCAACCATCCTGTGGTGTTGGGTCCTCTTTTGAAGAGACAGCGCCCCGCGTTCACTCCCGCTGCCCCCTCCCAGCGCCCGCATGCGGTTCCACCCTCCTGTCGGCACACCCCTCGCACGTTTCGTGGTCCCACAGGGAGCTCCACCGAAGGCGCCAGTGGCTGCGTTCGCATGCGGTTCCACCCCAATTTCGGCACACCCCTCACACGTTTCCAAAGGCCCCAACGGCAGCGCCCGCATGCGGTTCCACACCCATTTTGTCACACCCCTCACACGTTTCGTGGCCCCACAGAGAGCTCCATCGAAGGCCCCAAACGGCAGCGCCCGCATGCGGTTCCACCCCCACTTCGGCACACCCCCCCTCAAACGTTTCGTGGCCCCATAGGGAGCTCCACCGAAGGCCCCAGCGGCAGCGCCCGCATGCGGTTGCACCCCAATTTCGGCACACCTCACACGTTCGTGGCCCCATAGGGAGCTCCACCGAAGGCCCCAACGGCAGCGCCCGCATGCGGTCCCACCCCCATTTCAGCACAACCCTCACACGTTTCGTGGCCCCATAGGGGGCTCCACCAAAGGCCCCAGCGGCAGCGCCCGCATGCGGTTCCACCCGCATGTCGGCACACACCCCACACGTTTCGTGGCCCCATACGGAGCTCCACCAAAGGCCCCAGCGGCAGCGCCCGCATGCGGCTCCACCCCCCCATTTCGGTACACCCCTCGCACGTTTGGTGGCCCCATAGGGAACTCCACCGAAGGCCACAGTGGCTGCGCCTGCATGCGGTTCTACCCCCATTTCGGCACACCCCTCGCACGCTTCGTGGCCCTATAGGGAGCTCCACCGAAGGCCCCAGCGGCTGCGCCCGCATGCGGTTACACCCCAATTTCGGCACACCCCGCACACGTTTCGTGGCCCCACAGGGAGCTTCACCGAAGGCCCCAGTGGCTGCGCTCGCATGCGGCTCCACCCCCATGTCGGCACACCCTCCACACGTTTCGTGGCCCCACAGGGAGCTCCACCGAAGGCGCCAGTGGCTGCGTTCGCATGCGGTTCCACCCCAATTTCGGCACAACCCTCACACGCTTCGTGGCCCCATGGGGAGCCCCACCGAAGGCCCCAGTGGCTACGTTCGCATGCGGTTCCACCCCCATGTCTGTGTCCACCCCCACGTCTGTGCACCCCTCAGACGCTTCGTGGCCACGTTGGGAGCTCCACCGAGGCCCCAGTTGCAGCGCCCGCACGCAGTTCCACCCCCACTTCGGTGCCCCCTTCACACGTTTCGTGATATAGGGAGCTCCACCCCCACTTCGGTGTGCCCCTCACACGTTTCGTGGTCCCAAAGGGAGCTCCACCGAGGGCCCCAGTGGCAGCGCACGCATGCAGTTCCACCCTCCATTTCGGCGAATCCATCGCACGTTTCGCGGCCCCGTAGGGAGCTCCACCGAAGGCCTCAGCGGCAGCGCCCGAATGCGGTTCCACCGAACCCCTCACACGCGTCGTGGCCCCGTAGGGAGCTCCACCTAAGGCCACAGTGGCAGCGCTACATTTTGGTACACCCTTCACGCGCTCCGTGGCCCTATATGAAGATCCGCCGACGGCAATATTCACAACGACGCCACCCACAACTGCATATGGTTGGGCCCTTCGCCAGGCTAATTTCCAAAAAGTTCTGGATGTTCGTTCCCCCCCCTGCCATACTCTCGCATATTCTCCTCGGGATCGACGATGAAAATTTGTCTGTGTTTTTCCCCTCCTGACTAGAATATGTTGGTCCGTCTTGGGCGCCCCTGGTCTCGGGAATGCAGCCCGGCAGTTGGGAATGCACCCTGGGACTAGGTTCGGCGAGTCCTCCTACAGGCAGATTTGGGACGAAAGACAAACATTGACACCAAAAATGAGCAAAAAGAATCAAAAACAATAAACACATCCTCTGCATATTATGTTTCGACTATGTTTGAACATTCCTCCTGTAGAGGGACGTGTCCGAACTTAACCCTGGGACATGGATTGCCGTTCGGCCCGCCCCGCCTCGAGTCAGGGCTGTGGGTGAGGCCTCGAGCTTTGGGACGCCTGCTGGGATCTCTTCGGAGGCCTCTCGGGTTCTGTGGGGGGGGGGGGGAGCGGTTTGGAGGCCTCCTGGGAGCCTCTTGGGGGCCTCCCGGGCGGGGTCTCCTATGAACTCATACGGAGGCTTCTGGGACCCTCCTGGGAGGCCTCGTGGGGGCCTGTTTGGGCCTCCTGGGGGTCCTGGTGTGCGGAGAGGTCGACATGCTGGTTCGTGCTCCCCCTCTGGCACGGATCTTGAGCGGTCCCTGAAGTGTCCTCGGGCCCTCGGGCCGTCTTGGAGACGTCTGGAGCCGTATTGGGGGCCTCTTGGGCCGTCTTGGCGCCCACTTGGGGGCCTTGTGAGCCGTCTCGGGGCGATTTTCGGGGCGATTCTCGGGGCCTCGGAGGCAGTCTTGGCGCTGCGGATTGCACTGTGGATGTGTGAGCTATGTGGTGACAGCGATGTGGTGTAGGTTATGTGGTGCAGTGTGTGTGGTGGAAGCCAGCGGCGACAACGAGGCGGCAACGGGCAACAACGTGGCGAAACCTCGCCGGACCCTCCCAGCGCACGAGGCGGCAACGAGGCGACAAGCGGGCGTCAACGGGCGACAACTCGCCGGACCCACCCATCGCACGATGCGGCAACGAGGCGGCAACGGGCAGCAACGAGCCGAGATCTCACCAGACCCACCCAGCCCACGTGGCGGCAACGAGGCGGCAACGAGGCGGCCACGTGGCGAAACCTTTCCAGAACCACCCAGCTTACGAGGCGGCAACGACGAGGCGGCAACGAGGCGGCAACAGGCAGCAACGTGGCGACGACTCGCTGGACCAACCCAGCGCACGAGGCGGCAACGAGGCGGCAACGAGGCGAAACCTCGCCGGACCCACCTAGCGCACGAGGCTGCAACGAGGCGGCAACGGGCGGCAACGTGGCGAAACCTCGCCGGACCCACCCAGCGCACGAGGCGGCAACGAGGCGGCAACGAGGCGGCAACGAGCCGAAACCTTTCCAGAACCACCAAGCCCACGAGAAAGCAACGAGGCGGCAACGGGCAACAACGTGGCGAAACCTCGCCGGACCAACCCTGCACACGAAGCGGCAACGAGACGGCAACGTGGCGAAACTTTGCCGGAGCCAGGCAGCGCACGAGGCGGCAACGAGGCGGCAACGGACGGCAACGTGGCGAAACCTTGCGGGAGCCACCCAGTGCACGATGCGGCAACGAGGCGGCAACGAGCGGCAACGAGCCGAAACCTCGCCGGAGCCACCCAGCGCACGAGGCGGCAACGAGGCGGCAACGTGGCGAAATCTCGCAAGACCCACCCAGCGCACGAGGCGGCAACGAGGCGGCAACGGGCGGTAACGTGGCGAAACCTTTCCAGAAACTCCAAGCCCCCGAGGAGGCAACGAGGCGGCTTCGAGGCGGCAGCGGGCGACAACGTGGCGCAACCTCGCTGGACCCACCCAGCACACGAGGCGGCAACGGGCGGCAACGGGCGGCAACTCGCCAGACCCAACGAACGAGGCGGCAACGAGGCGGCAACGGGCGACAACGTGGCGAAACCTCGCCGGACCCACCCAGCGCCAGAGGGGGCAACGAGGCGGCCACGGGCGGCAACATGGCGAAACCTCGCCAGACCCATCCTATGCCTTGGTAGCCTCAGGAAGAACCCCAGAGTGCAAGTTCTGTCTGGAGAGAAGTGACGGAGCGGCCGCGCTCCACTCTCGCCGACTGGCGAAGCACGTGACTGGAAGATCGCCACGTGCGTTCCCGATTCAGGCTAGGGCTGGGATTTCAGGCGGGATCGCAACTCCAAGCCAGGGAAAGGACAGGCGCGAAGGCATCGCTCCCGTCCTCAGAACACGGTGACCACCTCCGTCCCACGTAAGAGCCCGCTCTCACCCTGCTTCTCCTGCTCCTCCTGGCCTCCCGCCTGGCAAAATTCCGAGCTCTCGGCAAAATGATGGAGAGTACCACTTGGAGCTAAAAACGCCCCGCAGTGAAAAACTCGTTCACTGCTCCAAGTCCGGACCACCCTGCATGGCAAACTCATCCAAAAAGGATGCTCTGACATCCTCAAGGTCCCTTCCGCGGCAGCGTAAGTCCCGCGAGACAGGCGGGCCGCTTGGACCTCTGACACGGAACCACACTGGGGTGCACGGAACGCCGAAGGCCGCCAGATTATCGCCGTCCACTTCTTGTCTGCACGGAAACGTCCTCCGGCAGAGTCTTTTGGGTTTAGTCCTGGCGGGAAGTAGCAGCCCCAGGCAGCGTCCTTTATCCATTCGTCAAGGCGCTGCATGGCAGCATGTTCGCCAACCTGCCAGAAGCTGCGCATATGGAAGGCCCAGTCGTCTGTCTTCGGGTTTCCTGTACCGCACTGGAGATGAAGCTGGCGTTTCTCATTGAACTGGCGGAAATCGGAAGGAATCTTGGCTCCGCCTGTGTTGCAATAGCCAAGTGCTGAAAGCTCTATAGACCATGGCCAGCCGCTTGGAGGTGCAGCCAGCTTCTTGGATATCGTGGGCAGAGGCTTCTCCAGCGACTCTCTCTTCTCCCCCTTTTGCTTCTGTTTCGTTTCCCAAGGTTCGAAGGCAGCAACCATGCCCTTGAATGACCGTACCTTGATGCCGAGGCTCTCCACCACGACTGACTCGAGCGACAGGTCGCGCTTGATGTGCCAGGGCTCCAGCTGCCGATTGAAGTACAACGCCGCCGCTCCACTCTCGAGAAGGACGTCACTCACCTGCTCAACGTAAGAGCCTCTGCGGTAGCAAATCCGGCTGCCGAGAAGCCTGAGATTCGCATCGAAGCACTTGAGCGACTCATGCCGCCACCACAGGCCAGCACCCCTGACCGGCCAGGGCGACGGGTCGCCCTCGTCGTGCACGTACAGCAGCACGACCCACTCGTGCTCTTCCGCCGCGGCGTACAAGGCAGGGTTGTCGTGCAGCCGGCAGTCCTCCCGCACGAGCACGACGCACCCGCCAGGGCGGCCCGCATCCAAGCCAGCGCCGCGGGCCGCCCGCCTCCTCGCCCGGCGAGAGGACGGGCCACCGCTGCTGACCGGCATCCCACCCCTGCTCTGGGAGGCGCGATCCGGACCGCGATCCGCGCCGCACTCCTCGCCGGATGCCACCGCCTGCGCGGCGCGGTCTACGTCCAGGGGCCAGTGGGGCCGCCGGTCGTTCTCCTGTTGGCGGCGCGCAGAAGGGGGCAGGGGAAGGGTGGAAGGCTTCTTGTAAGGAGGCTGCTTCTTAGAAGGCGACGGCCTTACATCTAAACGGAGGGCCCGCGCCTCCTTCCCTCCTCCCCCATATCCCCCTCTGCGCGTGGCCGATCCTCTCCGGAGGAGCACGCCGTCATGCTAGCAGCGCTGGCCTCGAGCGTCGAGGCTCCAGGCGGCCCCCACCGCCTCCGAGCCGCACCCACCGTGCCGTCCCCCTGCACGACGGCCCGAGTGCTGGTCGACCACCACAGCCTTTCCCCCTCCAGCTCGAGGGCGAGCCCAGCTCCACCTTGCGGCACCTCGGCCACGGGCTCCCGGCCACCGGCCTCGGCCACCTCCGCGCCGCCGCTGGCCTCGGCTGCCTCCCCGCTACCGCCAGTCCTGGCTGCCTCCTGCCGGCACGCACAAGACTCGTTCGGCGTTGTCCCCCCCACCCTCCCCCCCAAAGCCGAGAGGGGCGGCCTTCTGAGAGCGCGCCCTGCCTCAGAGAAGCCTGTCCTGCCCTCCAAGAAGCACTGCTGGAGGCCTCTGAGAAGAACCCGACACGTTCCGAGAAGCCCCCTATGGCGCCCCAGAAGGCCGCCCCCGCGAGCACCACCCACCCGTTCGCTCCGCCGAGCCTCTTCGCCAAAGGCGGCCCTGGCGGCCTCCACACCGACGGCGTCCCTTGCGGCCCCCACGCCGCCGCCGGCCTCGTCTGGGCGTTGCCCCACTGGGGTGCAACGAGCGGGGGGGCGAAGAAAGGTGCCCCTGTCGTGCACCCTCGGGGCCCCGCAGTGGGCACCTCCTGGGCCCCCGGCGAGCCGCCTTCCTGCGACCCTCGAGGGCCCCCCCCCATTACGAAACCCCCGACTCGTCCCCCGATTAGTGGCCTCCGGCCAGTGCCGCCGATCCAGGGCGCTCCGGATGATGATGATGATGATGATGATGATGATGATGATGATGATGATGGTGGTGATGATGATGATGGTGATTGATGGTGGTAGTGATGATGATGATGATGATGATGATGATGATGATGATGATGATGATGATGGTGGTGGTGGTGATGATGATGATGAGGATGATGATGATGAGGATGATGATGATGGTGGTGGTGGTGATGATGGTGATGATTATGATGATGATGATGATGATGATGATGATGATGATGATGATGATGATGATGATGATGATGATGATGATGATAATGGTGATGTGACGATGGTGATGGTGATGGTGATGGAGATGGTGACGATCCTGCCCCCCCCCCCCAGTCACCTCCCCCCTCTCTCCTGTCCCCCTCCCCCTCTCTCCTGTCCCCCCCCCCTCCCCTCTCTCCTTTCCCTCCCCCCCCCTCTCTCCTGTCCCCCCCCCCCCCCCCTCCCTGTACAATTACTCAATATGAATACTACTCTCCCTCTTCCCCTGATGACGGCCTGGAGTATCCGACCCCCCCCCCCCGCGTACTGTTTTTTTTTACACTCAGGTTTCCCCGCTGGAGTTGGATTTTCGCCTGCATTTTTTTTCGAAATGCTGCTCTCGCTGAGGCGCCGGCCTCATTTTCGGGCCCCGCTCGTTCCGAATCGTGCTCCCGCTGCAGCGCTGGCCTCATTTCCGTGCTTCCGCTCGTTCCGAATCGTGCTCCCGCTGCAGCGCTGGCCTCATTTCCGCGCTTCCGCTCGTTTCGACTCGTGCTCCCGCTGCAGCGCTGGCGTCATTTCCCGTGCCATGCCACGGCATGCACTGCAATGTTAGGTTGATACTACGCTTTGCGGTGCTCTTCTACGCCATGCCATGCCGTACTCTACAATGCATCGCGTACCCTTTCGGGATCATTGCCCTGCTCGACATCCGACTGTGCGAGTAGAGAGGGGATCTGCGCCATGGTAAGAAATGGGAGGGAGGGGTAGGATGTCAGAATTGACGCGAGCGCACCTAGCTTGCCCCCCCTCCCTCTCCCTCTCCACCCCCCATCACTCCCTCTCTCTACTGTCCCCCCCCTCCCCCCCTCTCTTTCTGGTCCCCCCCCTCTCTCCTGTCCCCCCCCCCCCTCTCTGATTTCCCCCCTCCCCCCCCCTCTCTCCTGTCCCCCCCCCTCTCTCCTGTCCACCCTCCTCCCCCTCCCCCTCCCCTCCTCTCTCCTGTCCCCCCCACCCCCTCACCTCCTGTCCCCCCCACCCCCTCTCTCCTTTCCCCCCTCCCCCTCTCCTGTCCCCCCCCATCTCTCCTGTCCACCCACCCCCCTCTACCCCCCCTCTCTCCTGTTCCCCCCCCCAGGGGCTGGCAGGGGGGGGAGGTGCCGAGCACTTTTATCCGTCAGTTAATTACGTCCCCCCCTTCCCCCTCCAAAGCAGAGCTAAAGCTCACGCTGAAGCAGAGCTTCAGCTTAGACTTCTTAAACTCACACGCCGGATCGGCGGAGCGGATTTGATCGATGATCCTGTGAGCGAGTGTTAGCTCCAACGTATGTTTGCCCACTGAGGCCCTTCAATACGACGAAGGCGATGTGATGATCGACTGGTTGGTCTGAACGGGGTAAACACACATTTGGCTAACACACATCCTGAGAATCATCGATTTGAATACGGGGTCCTTGGAAATCCCGACCCATTCCCAGGGACCGGTTTTTCATCCTGGATCGTTTCCTGACGGCCCCGAAGCCTGGCGAAGGCCCCTCGAGGCCGAAACTGGCCAACAACCTCCCGGCCTAATTTCTTGGGGTCACCACGCGATCAGCTCAGGGTCCGAAGCGCCCGACTTGTCTGCCTCCTCGCCCCCGCTGGCCTCGGCCGCCCCCGCGCCGCCGCGCCCCGCGGCCTCCCAAGCGCCCCCCTCGCCGCGCCGCCGTGCGCTGCCGGCACGGGCGCGCTGCCAGCGCATCGACGGCGCCGCCGCGGCGCGCGCATGTCCGCGCCGCGCTGCCAGAGCGGGAGGGGGGCTGGAAGCGGCCAGCTGCTGGAGGGGACGCACAAGGACATACTTGGAGGGCAATACATCCCCCTTTCTAAAAATAGAATAGACTCTCCCCCCCCCGGCGTTATCCGCCCCCCTTTCGGGTACGTAAATCAAATATGATTATGACCACATGTTCATCCTAAATCTGATTTACACTGTCCCAGGGGGGCCGGTAGGTTCCCCTGGGGTTCCCTCTCTCTCTATATATATAAATATAAACGGGGGGGACATTTGTTGCTCTAACATAAGACTTTGTCGCGAAACCCTCGCAAAAACGGGACGAAGTGCACACGCGCGCGTCGTCGCGCGCGCATGCCGGAATCCTTCAAAAACCTTCGGTGTCGGAAGGATTTCGCGATCGAGTTTTCAAAAACAAGAAAAACACAGGGGTTCGCAACACCGATTTGCTAAAAAAGCTTACGCGCAAGCTCTTGCGAAATCTTAAGACAACCATGGGTTTTTCAAGATTGTCACAAAATGCTACCAAACGGGCTTCGCGCGCGCGCGCATGTCGAAATCTGTCGAACGCCCTTGCGCGTGTGCCGTCGCGAGAATCCTCTGCAAAAAACGGGACGCAGTGCAGACGCGCGCGTCGTCGCGCGCGTATGCCGAAATCCTTCAAAACCCATCGGTTTCGGAAGGATTTCAAAATCGCTGTCCAAAAAACCTACAAAAACACAAGGTTTCGCAACACAGATGTTCAACAAGAACGTGTGCGCGCGCTCATGCGTCGTCGTCGTCGTCGCCGTCCTCCCTCCTCCCGCGTCGTCGTCGTCGTCGTCGCCGCCGTCGTCCTCTGTCTTTCCTCGTGTTCGTCGGCGTCGTCCTCTTTGGCGTCGTGGTCGTTTCCGTCGTCGTTCTTGTCCGTCCTCCCTCCTCCCTCGTCGTCGTCGTTGTCCGTCGTCGGCGTCTCGTCGTCGTCCCTCCTACTTCGTCGCCGTCGTCGTCGTCGTCGTCGCCGTCGTCGTCGTCGTCGTTGTCGTCGTCGTTGTCGTCGTCATCGCCTTCCCTCCTCCCTCGTCGTAGTCGTCGTCAGCGTCGCCGTCCTTCCTCCTTCTTCGTCGTTCGCGTCGTCGCCATCCTCCCTCCTCCCTCGTCGTTGTCGTCGTTGTCGTCGTTGTCGCCGTCGTCGTCCTCCCTCCTCCCTCGTCGTCGTCTTCGTTGGCGACGCCGTCGTCGTCTTCGTCGTCGTCGGCGTCGGCGTCGTCGTCGTCGTCGTCGTCGACGTCGGCGTCGTCGTCGTCGTCGTCGTCGTCGTCGTCGTCGTCGTCGTCGTCGTCGTCGTCGGTGTCGTCGTTGTCGTTGTCCGTCGTCGTCGTCGGCGTCGTCGTCGTCGGTGTCGTCGTCGTCGGTCGTCGTCGTCGTCGTGTCGTCGTCGTCGTGTCGTCGTCGTCGTTGTCGGCGTCGTCGAAGTCGTTGGAGACGTCGTCGGTGTCGTCGTAGTCGTTGTCGGCGGCGTCGTCGTCGTCGTTGTCGCTGTCGTCGTCGGCGTCGCTGTCGTTGCCAAGTGCCATTTGGTACCCACCGTCACGGTCTTGAGAGATTTTGCAAACCAAGTTTCGGGGGGTGGGTGGGTGGGATGTTTGCGCGAGCAGTGGAGTGGACAACTCACTGCGAACAGAAATTAATCCACCCCCATAATAATCACCCCGAGAAGCGAGGCTGTTTAGCAAACGCACCCAAAGAAGGAATCGAACCAGGCAAGGCTGTTTAGTAAACGCCCAGGGCCGTTTAGTAAACGCCAGTTATCGGGTCCGGGTGGTTTGCTCCTCACTTGAATACTACAACCCTCTTTAGTAAACGCCCAGGGCCGTTTAGTAAACGCCAGTTATCGGGTCCGGGTGGTTTGCTCCTCACTTGAATACTACAACCCTCGTCACAATTGACCTCAAATATGTCTCACGTGG